GTAAAATGTTTTAAGCTTTTGGTGAAAATATGAAATGTATGCTGGATATGATAATTTTTAATATTTCTTAAAATTAATAACAATCATAATTAATGGCTAGTGATACAAATTCATTTAGGGAATACAAAAAATAATGACATATGCCAACTACTCGAATGTTTAAAACAATACATGTAAAGTCAAAATATTTGGTGGAGCATATATCGTATATTAAATTTTAGATGATCACTATTTCCAAGCTTTTATTCTAGATATGTAAAAGCTTTTGTTTCTTATATTCTTTTTATAAGCTTGCAATTGATTGCCCTTTTTGTTATTCACAGTCCCTTACTGTCAATAATCTATCAAAAATAATAAAAACAAAAATGAAGAGAAGAAAACAGAATAATAATAATTCATCTCGCACTTCACCTCCCCTATCTATATCCGTCTTTGTCCACTTTCTTCATTCTTCTGTATCTTTTATTGTCCGATATTACTTGAAGAGAAAAAAATAATGAAATAATAAAAAAGTATTAACGTCCGAAAAGATATTCTTAAAATATTAAAAAAATTAAATAGAATTGTAAATAGCAAAGTGAAGATTGCCAATAGAAATCTAGTTGTATGTTGGATTCAAATGGTAAAACTAGTTCAGGTTGCGCTGAATTAGGTTGAACTGAGAAGTGCATCGGATCATTAAACACCTTATCCAAGTTCAAGTAAGTCAGTCGATCAAGTGTATTGGCTGGCATGGGGTGATCCTGAAAAGTAGAGAAGAAGACAATGAACTATAAACACAACCGGACCTTTACCACCATACAATCCAACTAAAGAGTGTTACGCTGTCAATCGAGATTACACAGATTTGGTTGGCACCAAAGATTCACGCCTTTTCTTTACATAGACTCGGCTGGGGACCAAACTTTATTAAAGAGAGTCATAAATAAATGCATAATTCCGCCAGAAAACCACCACCGCAGAAGGTTGTGCTACATTTACTGACGAAGCTCGAATCACGGACCGCAATATTAAAGACCACTTACAACAGCAGCTAACTCCATATCCTGAAAAGCCATGTTTCCATTACAGCCTGCTCTGTTTGACAGGTCCCATTGCCTTGGCCTTCGTCCTCAGTTCATGCTTCTTAATCTTCCCAGTAGCTGTCTTTGGCAGCGGTCCAAACACCACGGACTTGGGCACCCAGTATGCCGGCATCTTTGCACGGCAAAACTTGATAATATCTTCTGCCAGTGCTTGCTCGTTGGATTGATCCACTCCCTCCTTCAGAGTCACAAATGCGCACGGCGACTCTCCCCACTGCTCGTCCGGTCGAGCCACCACTGATACCTCCAGCACCGCAGGATGCATGTACAGGTAGCTCTCAACCTCCAAGCTACTAATGTTCTCACCCCCTGAGATTATAATGTCTTTGGCACGGTCCTTCACTTCTATATATCCGTCCGGGTGCTTTACACCTATGTCACCGGAATGGTACCAACCATGAGCAAAGGTCTCTGCATTTGCCTTTGGGTTCTTCAAGTAGCCCTTCATGACAACATTTCCTCGCATGACAATTTCCCCCAGAGTGGTACCATCAGCAGGGACCGGAGCCATAGTTTTCATGTTGACAACGTCTAGGCCTTCCAGCCCAACGTAGCGAACACCTTGGCGAGCATGGACACGAGCTCGTTCTTCGAGCGGAAGAAGGTCCCATTCAGGCTTCCATGCACAGAGGACGGACGGACCAAAGGTCTCCGATAGGCCATACGTGTGGGTGACACGGAAACCAAGTTTTGTCATTCCTGCCAGCACCGATGGGGGTGGGGCAGCTCCGGCGGTGTTCACGTTGACAACACGGGGAAGAGGGAGGATGGTGTCGCTTGGAGGGGCATTGACGATTGCGTTCAGGACAACAGGGGCTGCACAGAAATGGGTGACACCTTGCTTGGCTATGGCCGAGTATACAGACTTGGCTGTGACCTACACAAAGATTAGTAAGCTTATGTACTCAACATGGTTTCTGAGCAAAAAAATAATAGTAACTTTTTCTCACCCAAGTCCACGAAATAACTAAACTGTTGATGAAATTATACATGGATTAACTTGACAACAAAACATGCAACTTGTGCAGTTCACCAGTAAAGGAGACAAAATGGAACCGGAAACTAAAATTTTCCCTACTGAAAATAAAGAAATTGCAAGTGACTGAAGATAAACAGCACCACATAATGCAGTGGCATGATTCTTGTTGTCAACAAATGTACCATATATATTGTATAGCAATATCATTATCTGTTTCTTTCAACAACAAAGAATATCCAGCCACATGGTACCTTAAATGTAATTGACAAAGTTGGAATGTTAACTATCCAGAAATAGGTCAAGGCGGCTTTGTGTACTTCATTTTTTGTAGTTTTTGGATACTGCGCCTCATATGTCTGCAAGAAACTTATTTCTGCAGAGAGTCTACTTCCATATTTTCCATTTTTAACCAGATCGGCACTAACATAGGGAAGAAAGTACTCAAAATATCCTTCTTTAACACTATCTATCGGAGAACAGTCACCAACATTCCTATTTGGACATAAAATTAACAGGTGGCTGGTAAAATAATAATTTATTATATCCAACTCATTTTTTCCAAGCAAGAAAAGAATCGATATCTCAAAAAGATCTTTTGGAACAGGACATCTATTAATGAATATCTAGATTCTACTAGAGCAGTTCCTATGTGATTAAAATATAAGATGTAGAAAGAAAACAAATCTGTATAGTAATTATGATCCACATACAATTATAATTTCCATCAATCATAATACTTATAGAGTTAATGCAGTCACCCTCTTTTCAGAGCTAGAAATTACACCGGCATAAATTAGAGATAAAAGGAAAATAGACAATTCAACAACTAGCAAACCCTTTCTTCACTTATGGTAAGTTCCTCTCTCTTGAACTTATCTTTGATGAAGATATTAGCATGTAAAGATTTTGCAAAGTGCCAGTGACAACATTCACCAGCATCTTCCATGGAGTTCTCTTATTCAGAAATGCTCTTGATAAAGGGAAGACTCGGATAACAAGAATGACAATAACATCACAACTTCCTTTTTAATTCCATTTGGCAAAGGCCCATTTTTAATTAAACAGGCTGCTCTGGTAGGAGCATTCAGTGGACACCCTTTTATTTCTAGAGAAGGAAAAGCCTTGTCATCTCAAATAAAGGTTGACAATAGACTAATAAAATAGGATCTGCACTGTGCACTACTAATCATGAATGTATATGGCTGCTACTAAGTTAATAATTTTCTCAAACAAAAGCCGCAACTTGTGATATCTAAATTACTTACCCTAGTCAGATTTAAGTAATTTACTAATTTTCATCAAATATCAGTAGATTGAGCTATAACAACATCGAAATAAGATATAATCTGTTGAAACTAGATAATCCTAAAGTCTTTTGGTAATATGGAAATTATGTGAGGGTGTTAAAAATGGCAACTGCCAGTAACTTGAACCAAGAAAAAAGGAAAGAAGAAGAGAGAATGGGGCAATAAAAACATTAACTCAATCTACTCTGTCTGAACTATCTAAAGAACAAAAGACAAGCATAAATCTTATTTACATAGTTTGCAAAAAAAATTTAAAAAATATCAGCAAATTGGAACAATACCTGACGGAGGCATATGCTTGTTCCACAAAGGGCTGCCAATGTCCAAGCATAGCACCAACCATTGCAATGAAACAT